TTTTATTTTATTTTATTATTTGTGTGAGTGTACCGTCAAATCAGATCTGACTGGTACAGGAGGAGATTGCCCCTCCTTTCTCGGCAGAGCATCTGGTGGATTCGAACCATGGGCCTTTGGGATTGCAGTGCAGCTTCTTGCCACTAGGCCACCAGAGCTCCCCATAATTGATATGGTAGATCTTGAAATGTCTTTTTGGACAATGAATGCAAAGACACTCTTCCATTCATCATTCCCAGCATGTTGTTTGCCATCAAGTGGAAATTGACCCATACCTGAACGTCCAGTAGGAGGAGAGTGCTTATCTTTCTCCCACAGAGCAGCTGGTGGATTTGAACCACGAGCCTTTGGGATTTTACAGCGCATTTTCTTACTATTGTGCCATTACAGCTCAGCATTCCCAGCAGAGTAGACTATGTATAGTTGTCTGGTTCAAAATGACAAATATCAGTCGATTTCAGCTCATGAACATCTAAGTTAGAGGTGTTCATGTGTTCCATTTAATTTTTTTATAACTCATACTTTATACATTCCACATTACATGTCTGCAGTGTTTTCTCCTCACTTTTAAGTCATACTACAACAGAAGATGAAAGTCTTTCATTGGCTGAAAGCTTTTCTCCATCCACATCATTAAAGTAGATTTTTAGTGCCTTCCATTCTAAGGGCCTCACCTTCCTCACAGTATTAGACAATGTTCTACTGCTAGTTACAGGATTTTCAAGGGCCTATTATTTCAGAAGTATTGATTGGGGCTGCTTCCTACCTGTCTTAGTCTAGAAACTCCACTGAAACCTGTCCCCCACCGGTGACCCTCCTGAATTTGAAATATCGGTGGCACAGCTTCTTTTTTTTTTTTTTAAATACATTTTTATTTTATTATTTTTGTGTTCGTGTACCGTCAAATCAGATCTGACTGGTACAGGAGGAGATTGCCCCTCCTTCCCCGGCAGAGCATCTGGTGGATTCGAACTGTGCACCTCTGGGATTGTAGTTGCAGCTTCTTGCCACTAGCCCAACAGAGCTCCTGGTGGCACAGCTTCTAACATCAGAGCAGCACGCAATCCACTAGAATATGGCAACTTGTAATATGCAGATCCTCTTACTTGCAGAAATCAAAGACAACTTGAAGCGTTTATTCATGAAGCTTCAGTATGGATTATACCTCAAAATAAAGGGGGGGAAAGTCCTCATAACTAGACTAATAAGCAACATCTGTTAAATGGAGAAAGATTGACAGATTGACCCAAGAGATTTAATTTTAGTTGGATCCACATCTACACCCATGAAAGCAGCCATCAGGAAACCAAACAACTTATTTCAGTGGGAAGATCTGTCGCCAGGGACCTCTTAAAGTGATAAATGCTAAAAAAGCACGAATGCCATTTTTTAAAATTATTTTTTGTGCACGTACTGTCAAATCAGATCTGACTGGTACAGGAGGAAATTGTCCCTCCTTCTCTGGCAGAGCATCTGGTGGATTCAAACCGTGTACCTTTGGGATTGCAGTACAGCTTCTTGCCACTAGGCCGCCAGAGCTCCCTGTGAATGCCATTTTTCAAATGTGCCTGATCCGTACCATGGCATTTTCATTTCCTGCATATACTATGAAAGTTGGACATCGAATAAGGAAGACAAAGAAAAGTTGATGCCTTTGAATGGCTGGCAAATAATGGACTACCAAAAAACCAAATCTCTCTTTAAAGAAGTGTAACCAGAAGTGCTCCTTAGAAGCAAGGATGGTGGAACTTTGTCTCACATTCTTTGGGCATGTTATCAGGAGGGGACACTCCCTGGAGAAGGACATCAAGCTTGGAAGAGTAGATTACTGAGAGAGAGAAGAGACCCTCAGCAAGGTGGAATGACGCAGTGGCTGCAACCAAAGTTTAAGCTCTGCTGATGCTATGGGAGCGTCATTCTGTTGTACAAGTTACTGTGAAGCAGAGCTGATTCCACATCACCTAACAACAACATGCCTTTGGTATTGGTGGATTTTATAACACTGGTACAGAGCATGACAGTACATTTATGGACTGGTTTAGATTAAAGAGTAGTCTCTGAGCACTTGTTATTTTAAGTTTATCCTTTCAGATCTTGGAGAGGTTTTTTTTTAATTACATTTAAAAACCATTTTTATTGTGCTTTATGGTGAACACTTTACAGATTTCTACTCAATAATTGGGTGACCATTCATCAATTCATGCACATTTTGCTTCATTGATTGTAGCCCTGTGATGTAGTTGCACTTCCATTCCCTGTGTTTACTGTTGCCCTTCATTTTTCCTATCAGTTCCTGTCTTCTGAACTTTGAGCAAATGCTGCACTTTGATCCCCTTTAGTTGATTGTCCTAGGAGTGGTGCCTACTGTTTGGCTGAAAGTTGAGCCAGGGTTGGGAGGTAGGAAGGTTAAAGGGTGAGTTAGAGTCCTAGTCTCAGGAGTTTGAGGATTCTTGTTTAAAACTTTCTTTTTACTTTAAAAAAAATTTTTATTTTTAGATCAAATAAATTTTAGGTATCTTGTCAATATCATAGCTAAATGTGCCACTTGTGAACAATTTTAGATGCCAGTTTAATGCTTTATATAAGTAGGCAGCCTTGTAACTCTAGATCTCTTGGATTGCTATATTCATCATCACTCCAACCCTTCACTCAACCAGAAATACAGCTGGAAGACAAGACACACTTTTTTTAGTTCCAAGCTCATAAACTTAAAGTCCAAATAAAGATATAAACCTTTAATGGTTTATAGGAATTATGTTTATAGTATATTAAAGGATAATAAATGTATATGGTTCATACCACTTTCTAGTGCATTTCCTCTAGCTAGAAAAATTTTAATGAAATTAATATATTCCATTTTACTGATTTTTATCATATTGATAACGTACTATTTCTTTTTCATGCCTGACAATATAAATTTCACAGGCTGAGATTAATTATTACGATCAAACAAAAGTGTATGACTATTCCTTTCCTGTATGGACTTTGTTCAAGGGCTACACTGTAATTTCTTGGCATGTAAGGTTCAGAATTGTTCATAAATGACCTGGTTTAGAAAAGGCATACTTCCAGGAAATTGAAGAGTTTTGTTCCAGCCTCTCTGTCGACTGGCAGCATTTATTATCATGGGTGATTAGCAATCTAGGCAAAAGGAGAAAGCACACACAGTACTTGTATATCCTTTCCAACCAGGTCGTGCTGGGGTCATTTTAGGGCATGTAATTGCATCACATGGGTAATGCCAGGCGGGACAGGGAGCACTTTGGCTACAGCCTGAATATGAAGGTGGTTGTCAGTGAGAACCAGAGCTCTGTGTCAGCCTTCACTGCCAGAAAAAGAGAGAGAGAGAGAGAAAGAAAGAAAGAGAGAGAGAGAGAGAAGGAAGGAGGGAAGGAAGGAAGGAAGGAAGGAAGGAGAGAATGAAAGAAAGGGTCATGAGTGGGACTGGGTTAGAATAAAAGGAATGGGGGGGGGAATTGATCAACAATTTAGATAGAGAAATGAATTATTATTCGGCCTCATAAAAAAAATATTCAGTGTTCCAGAAAGTCAACCAAAAATATTATCTTAATGACACTAAGTAGTTTGAAAGGAGAATGTATCTTCTTTTTTTTTAGCAGATTTCATCTTACTTTTAAGCAAGTTTCTAAAAGGAATTTAAATCTATAAAAATCCTTAATGTATCTTATGTCTTATTCTAGGATTCCCAAACCACCTAATGCTACAGTAGAGTAAGTACCCACTTATATTTTCTTTCCATGTTATTATGAAGAAAAGATACTGCTATTTTTTATGTCTTAGATAAGTATGAGGTTTAATGAGCCTTTTTTAGGAAAGCTTTTAAAAAAATGGGAAAAGAGACTGGTGCAAGTCCAAAGTAACAATATTTTATTTCCTCCAGGTTTTTTTTTTAATAATCTATTTCTTTTAGAAGCGTTTTAGATTTTTTAGAATTATGAGGAAGATGGCAGAGTTCCCATATATCCCACAACATGTCCACTAATAACATATTAACACAGTACATTTCACATAATTAATGAACCAGTATTATTAGATTATTAATAATTGTTAAAATAACAATACTTTTTATTATTAATTTTGATACATACTTAATAATACTGTCCATAATTTAAATCTACATTTTATTCCTATTGCCTCCATTTCCCCCTCATGTCCTTTTTCCCCCTCTTAGGTCCCAGTCTGAAACACTGTATAACATTTAATCTAAAAAAATCCTCTGTCTCTTGATCGTGATAGTTTCCCAGATTCCTTTCTTTTTTATGACCATGGCAGTTTTTAAAATTACTGTTCAAGTATTTGTTACTCTCCCTCCATTGTGATTTGCCTAATACATTCCTTATGATCAGACTGAGGCAATATGATAGGGAAAGAAGACCACAGAGGTAAAGTGTAATATAACATTATTGTTGATGTTTACCTTTATAATGTGGCTGGGGTAATCATTGATAGTTTTCTCTGTGGTAAAGTTACTCTTTTATTTCCCACTTCTGTGGTGTACTCTTTATAGAAAAGTTCCATTTATTCTATACAGCTGTATTTAACAAATACAAAGTTATACTCCACCTACATAGATTATTTATAATTCTCCTGCATGGGAAATTTGCCTGTTCTTCTCCATTTATCCATTTTATTAAGTCCTATCACTAAGGGTTTATGGATCCTTATTTATACTTTGGTTAATAGTCCTATACTTCCAGACTTTGCTGCTGAGGTTCATAGTTGGGATCCCTTTCATATGACTCCTCTAAGTCTTTGTTATATCCCATCATTGGGAGGATTATTTCTTGAAAAGAAAAGAGCAATTTCTTATATTTTAATACCAAAAAATATTCCAGGGTTACTTAGCAAATGTCTATCTCAGAACCAACCATTTCTCCAAAAAGCTAGAATTCATTTTATGAGGAGAATGGCATTAGAAAGGAAGATCTGGTCTTGAGACATGCTGTATTCTACTAGCATCATTTGCCAATTTTAACTGAAAATAATAAGCTGAATTTTAAAACTATGCCTCAGTTAAAGCAAAAGAATTATGCGAAAGGCTATTCAAGTTAGGGCCCGGTGAATTTTGGTTGTTGTTTGTTTAAAAACTGTGAAGAATATGTCTTTAGGACTTTTAAAGTTAACATCTTGTCAAGATTAAAATGAAGTTGTTGATATTTCTCAGATTCATGTTTCTGCCTGTACCTTATCAAAAATCTCTTCCTTTACCTGAACTTATCAGTTAGAACCTTCAAAGATTGTGTAACACTTTGGTGAACAATATAGAGTAGACCGAGTCCAGAGACAACCCATACCTCTAACTGAATAATTCACTTAAAAAGAAACCTAATGAAAGCAGAGAATACCAGAAGAATGTCTATCTGTGTTTCATTGATTTTGCAAAGGCATTTGACTGCGTGGATCATAACTGTGGCTGACTCTGAGAAGAATGGGAATCCCAGAACATTTAATCGTGCTAATGCGAAACCTATACTTGGACCAAGAGGCAGTCGTCAGAAC